GCACTGGAGGCACAGGGTCTTAACTGCTGGACCACCAGAGAAGTCCTCTGAAGAAGCTTTTTATTTGATGTAGTGCCACTTTCTTATTTTTGCTTTTGTTGCCATTGTTTTTGTTTTCAAATCCAAAAAAATTATTTCCAAGACTGATGCCAAGAAGCTTATACCTATGTTTTCTTCTAGGATTTTTAAGTTTTCAGGTTTTAAGTTCAAGTTTTTAATCTAAATTGAGTTGATATTTGGGCCTGGTATAAGATGGGGGTCCTGTTTCATTCTCTTGCATGTGGCTGTCCAGTTTTCTCAACACCATTTAGTGAAGAGACTGTCCTTTCCGCATTGTATATTCTTGTTTCCTTTGTCTTAAATTAACTCACTATATATGCATGGGTTTATTTCTTGGCTCTCTATTCTGTTTCACTGATCTATGTGTCTGTCTCTATTCCAATACTATACTGTTTGGTTATTATAGTTTTGTAATATAGTTTGAAATCAGGAAGTGTGATGCTTCCAGCTTTGTTCTTCTTTCTCAAGATGGCTTTGGTTATTCAAGGTCTTTTGTGGTTCCATACAAGCTTTAGCATTATTTTTTTTTCTTTTCTATTTCTGTGAAAAAAATTGTCATAGAAATTTTGATAGGGGTAGCACTGAATCTGTAGTTTCAGATTCAGTAGATTTTAATATTACTAATACATTCAATCCATGAACATAAGATATCTTTCCATTTATTTGAGCCTTCTTTAATTTATTTCATTGATTATAGTCTTTAGTGAACAGATCTTAACCTTCTTGGCTACATTTATTCCTAGGTATTTTATTCTTTTTGATGTAATGTAAATGGGTCCATTTTCTTAATTTGTCTTTCTGATAGATCATTGTTGGTGTACTGAAACAGAACTTATTTTTGCCTATTGACAAAATTTGTATCCTGCAATTTACTGAATTTGTTTATCAGTTTTAGCAGTTTTTTTTTTTTTTTTCCTGGAACTTTTGGGACTTTCTACACATAATATCATGTCAGATGCAAATAGAGAGAATTATACTTCTTATCTGATTTGGGTGCATTTTATTTCCTTTTTTAGCCTAATTGCTGTGGCTAGGTCTTCTACTACTATGCTGAATATAAATGGTAAGAGTGGGCATTCTTTTTGTGCTCCAGATCTTAGAGAAAAAGCTTTCAGCTTTTTACCTTTGAGTATGATGGTAGCTGTGGGCTTGTTATACATGGCCTTTATTAAGTTGAGATATGTTCTCTCTATACCCAATTTGAGAGGTTTTATCAAAAATGGGTGTTGAATTTTGTCAAATGCCTTTTCTGCATCTATTGAGATGATCATAAGATTTTTATCCTTCATTTTGTTAACGTGTTGTATTACACTGCTTGATTTGCACATACAGAACCATTCTTGCATCCCTGGAATAAAATTCCTCTCCAACATGGTGTATAATCATTTTAAAGTATTGTTGAATTTGATTTCCTAATATTTTATTGAGGATATTTGCATCTATCTTTATTAGCAATACTGGCCTTGTCTGGTTTTGGTATCAGGGTAATTCTGGCCTCATAAAATGAGTTTGGAAGTGTTCCTTCCTCTTCTTTGGAAGAGTATGAAAAGGATTTGTATTAGTTCTTTAAATGTTTGGTAGAATTTGCCTGTGAAGCCATCTGGTCCTAGAGTTTTCTTTGTTGAAACATTTTGATTACTGATTCAATCTCCTTACTAGGAACTGTTCTGTTCAGATTTTCTATTTCTTCATGATTCAGTATTGATAGGCTGTATGTTTCTAGGATTTTTTCCATTTCTTCTAGGTTGCCCATTTTGTTGGCATATAAGTGTTCATAGTAGTCTCTTACAATCCTTTGTATATCTGTGGTATCAGCTGTAATGTCTCCTCTTACATTTCTAATTTTATTTATTCAAGTACTTTTGTTTTCCCTTGGTAAGTCTCTAGATAAATGTTTGTCTATTTTGTTTATCTTTTCGAAAAACCTACACAGTTTCATCAATTATCTTGTAGTCTATTATTATTTTCTAATACTTTTTAGTCTCTATTTCATTTATTTCTGCTCTGATCATTGTGATTGAATTTCCACAGTTGGCCAACAGGTGCGTGAAAAGATGCTCAACATCACTAATCATCAGGGAAATGCAAACCCAAACTACAATGAAATACTACCGTACACCTGTTGGAATGGCTATATATATCATCAAAAAGACAAGACATTCTTCTTGGCAAGAATATGGAGAAAAGGGAACCTTGTATACTGTTGGTAGAAATGTAAACTTGGAGCTTCCTCAAAAAATTGAAAATAGAAACACCATATGATCTAGCAATTCCATTTCTGAGTATATACCCAAAGGAAATGAAAACATAATATTGAAGAGATATATGCACTCTAATGTTTACTGCAGCGTTATTCACAATAGCCAATATATGGAAAACAATCTGTCGATGAATACATATATATGTGGTGGAATATTATTCATGAGAAGGAAGGACAACCTGCTATTTGCAACAACATGGACTGACCTTGAGGACATTATGCTGAGTGAGATAAGTCAGAGAAAGACAAATACTGTATGACAGCACTGATATATGGATGCTAAAAGAAGTCAAACTTGTAAAAACATAGTAAAATGGTGGTTACCAGGGTCTGTGAGGGGTGGGGAGATAGAAGAGATGTTGTTGAAGGGTACAGACTTGCAATGCATAGTAAATAAGTCCTACATATATAATGCACAGTATAGTGAATATAGGTGACAATATCATACTATAATCATCAAACTTGCTGAGACAGCAGATATTAATTATCACAACCACTAAAAAGAAATGATAATTATGTGCTGTGATAGAGGTGCTAATTATCACTACACTAGCATTCATATTATAAATATATAAATGTATTAAATCACTATGCTGCACACCTTAATTTTACACAATATTATATGTTAAATATGTCAATTAATGTTTTAAGTGAATTGAATATTAGCAAACTGAATCCCAGAAAATTAACAAGAATTTAAGCCACAAAAATAGTCCAGTGTGTTTCAAGTATGTAAAACTGATTGCTGGTCATTTACATTAATAAAGTAGAGAACAAGAATACAATCGATGTAATAGACAGAAAATGATAAAAGTGATAAAATTAAAAATGGTCCATGACTAAAACTCAGCAAACTAGGAATAGTGAGGAACTTTTTCTTCCTCTGGTAAGTGGTATCTACAAATATCCCACAGCAAATGTTTTAGTTAATAGTGAAATGTTAAAAAGTTCTGCTTGGGCTTCCCTGGTGGCGCAGTGGTTGAGAGTCCGCCTGCCGATGCAGGGGATGAGGGTTCGTGCCCTGGTCTGGGAGGATCCCACATGCCGCGGAGCGTCTGAGCCCGTGAGCCATGGCCGCTGAGCCTGTGCGTCTGGAGCCTGTGCTCCGCAACGGGAGAGGCCACAGCAGTGAGAGGCCCGCGTACCGGAAAAAAAAAAAAAAGTTCTGCTTATGAGATCAATAATGAGCCAACAATGTCTGCTGTTATCCCTTTCATTGAACATTGTACTGAATGTTCTAGTCACTGCAGAAGTACAAGAATAAGAGATACAAGTTTTCTAATGTAAGACTTAAAACTGTCATTATATCAGAAAACATCATGTATACTTTACAAATCAAAAGGATCTACATTCAAATTATTAGAATTAATAAGTGGATTTAGCAAAATTTTTGAACATGGAGATCGGCCATAAAATCCGAAAACACACATAAATACATGTAACAAATTATATATTGCTATTGCATTGTGAGGCACAATACATTCAGTGACATTATATGATATATTCGATGTGTTGTCCCTCATTAGCAATACATAATTCCATAATGTGTAAAACTGCAATGAAAGCTTTAATGCAGTATTTCCATCAGTCCCTATAAGTAAATATGTGATGTGCTGCTTTTTATGACTTCTTTATAATTTTTACTAAAGAAATCTCTGCTTTGAGCATATCCTACTGTATGTCCAGTGCTTTGTTTCAGTGGTTGCACCTAAGAGACACTCAAACTACCTACTGATTGAATGAATAAATAACTATTATCATTTTCCAATCTCTAAAATCTCTTAAATCTATGCTACCATTTAAATCACCTTTAATTATATGTTGGATGATACTTCTTTTCTGAGAGATAAAACTAGTAAATATCTCTTCTCTTTTAACAATATTTGTCTATCCAATTTCTTTTTCCAATTGGGTAATCGAGCAACATGTATTTTTCACACCCCCTTTTTGGTGATGTGTAAAATAACTGCCCAGAACAGAGAGAGGCAATATAGTATTGCTTAACAAGATGCACAGATTTATTGTAAGACAGACTGGCTTCCAATTCCAACCACTAGTTATAACACAATAATTCTATGACCTAAGGCAAGTTATACTTTACCGTTCTAAGTCTCAGTTTACACAGTTAAAAGTAATACCCAAAGGTCACTGTAAAATTTAAAATGTGATTATATATGCCAGCTGCTTTGCATAATGCTTAGCCCAAGTATTTATTATTATTATTATTACAAATCAATGACTGCACAATCCTTGTACATACTTCCTGCTGGAAACTCTAGCATTTCTTAATAAGAACTTAGGCAGAGAAATCTAGTTGTAAGAGAAGTTCTAGAAAGTGTGTTTGAAACTATAGTTGTATGGTAAGTTCACTCTTTTTATTTAGAGTACATTTTTTTATTTGACATGTCTTGGGCATGCATAGTGGGTAACAGAGAATATGGGGAGTGTTGATACTCCTCCATTGACACTGTGCAATTATCTTCCTGGGTGTGATGAATTTCCTACTCAAATAAAGAATTTAAAGCAGAGGAAAATATATGTATTGCCTTTAAAAACCAAAGTCATTAATTCTGAAGAGGAACAATTTAAAAGGCAGCTACTAAGTTCTATGCAGTTCTATAAAGAATATTGAAAGCATTTGTTAATTGCTGTGGTTTCATTACCGAATAATACTTGGAATATGTTGGCCTTCATTAGACAATATGCTGGCCTTTATTGGCATCAGTTTACAACACAGGTGTTGAAAAAGAAAGTAAAATTGGTGGAAGATTACACGCTGCAATGCAGGTAACTCAAAAGAAAAAACCTTTAACTTTTAATATGAAACGTAAAATCAGGTTTGCATAAGATTTGAAGTAATCTCAAAATTACATTATTTTAAAAACTATTAGTTGTTCAAAGGCAACATCCAAGATTGGCAGAGAACAGAAGTATCAAATGTAGTTGAAATCATCTTAAAGCAGGAGGGAATACGTGGTCATTGTCTCCCAAGATTTATTGACTTTTTCTTTGCCTAACAAAATCACAGAGTGAGAATATAATTGGAATCTCAAAGAAATATAAGTAAACATTCATGAAACAAATGTTTGTGTTACTTCTGGGACTGAGTAAGCCCTGGAGATAGGTCAGTATAAAATCTGAGAGCCCTGCCCTTCTGAAGTTTACATTCAGTTATGAAAATATGAAGTGTCAAAAATTTCTAATCTAGTGTTTATAAAATTGGATGGGGCAGCCTTTATTGAGTACTTTAGCTCTCTTCAGATACCAAATAATTGCAATAAAAAAATGGAACGAAAGAAATTATTTTACATGAACTCTCTTGGCACCAGGATTTTTAACTAGTAATATGGGTCTTTAGAACCTTTCGATTACGAGGTACAAAAGAATTTGGAGGTTAACAACAGTATTATCATATTGAAGAGAATATAATTCTCAAAGATTACCGATGCTAATATAATGATGGAAATTTTAAGATCAGTCTATCGGATTGTTTAGAAAGTTTGGGCTGCTAACATTTTACAGTCAAAATTTGGGTATGAAAGTCTGAAAAGACAGTGGTACTTTTTGTTTGTTTTTTTGTTTGCTACAAATTGAGGTTTAATAGTATCTATCCTCCAAATCCTAACTGCAATGTGGTCTTAAGGAGTCCTAGAATCTGAATTCTGCCTAGGAGTTTCTGAAACACCAAGTGACGGTAGTGCTCTCTGTCTCACAATAGTTAACTGCAAAAATCAACTGTGGGACTCAGGAAAGCAGTTGATTGTGTGACTCGATCAACAAGCGTTCATAAGAACCTATTATAATGTGCTTAACATTATGCTAATTGCTGTGAATATACAAGAGACATTTAAGACATCGTCTTAACTCTCAAAGAGTTTCAGAGTTCATTTGGAGATCCATATGAAAGAAACACCTTAAGAGAACAACATAACACCTTGCATAATTAAGGGCTTACTGGCAAAATTTCAGGGGAGGAGAAAGTTAACAGATACTTTGCAAAGTAGAAAAGAACTCTAGAGACAGGCCCTTTGGACTGGGTGGGATTTGTGTAGACAAAAAGAAAATGGTGAGAAAGTTGTAGATAAGAATAACATGCGTGAAGACACATAGTGAGAAGGAACATAACTGTGCAGTTGCTGAGTGTACAGACATTCCTGAAGTTTGAGCTGAGGATCCTCGCCCACGTCATCTCAGAATTTCTGGAACATAATCCTAGTCAGCATATAGTTGTCTTCAAGACTGAGATTTTTGTAGTATTTTTCATTTAAGGACACGAATGTGAATAAATAAGATGTATTGTCTAAACACATTCTTCAATATTGATTGAGCCTTTAAGTGGGCTCTATTTTGTCAAGAGTCTAATAATACAAGCATTGAAATGAATATATAGAAAGCAGGAGTGTATATGGGTTGAGAAGTTTTAGGACAGAGGGTCAATCTCAGCTTCTATAGCCTCCAAAGTGTATTCCCTTTTCAGGTAGAGTTTGAGATTTTGTGTAAGTGGTGGTGGACAATTTTTTCTCTATTTCTCAGGATAGAAAGAAAAAAGAGAAAAGGACTAAAATTGAAGGCAAAGATTTTTAGAAAAAGTATCCTGCCTATCAGAATTTTAACCCAGAGGAAAGATTACTAAGATAAATCATGAACTCTTGAATGTTTAAGGAAATGTTATTAAGCCCTGTTGCCAAAGCACTGACTACAAACAAGGGGTGACTGCAGTGGCTACTTGAAGTGAATTCCCTATGAACTCAACCCTTTCCATATGAAATCTATAAGGGTGTTAAAAATGGTTTCCCTGTCCAGTTTGTACAACAGAGCTTTCCTGAATGCTAAAATCAGCTGAAATACCGTGCATAGTGTTATAATAAATTGAAACAGATTAAATTCAGTAGAATAGGGATTCACATACCAATTATTTGTACTATTAATAAAGATAAGAATAAAATGCCACTCATGAAGGTCCTCTAAATTATTCAGTTTACCACTTTACAGAGTTGCCAGACACTGGACAAGAATATTTTTGCTTTGCTTATTGCTAACTAAAATTAAGAAAGCTCTGGGGGTAAATCCACCTGGAAATTTCACCTGTGGCCATATGTTTAAAAGGGCCATTACTAGTATAGCCAGATAGGCACATATTTGATAAACTCAGTCTTAGAATGCATTGCTCTGCTATCAGAGTTTTCTCTTGCCTTGATCTAGGATTGCAGTAAAAAAAGAGATGTGTTGAACTCAGTATTTCTGCTGGAGGCTTCCGCTACCACCACCCTGCAAATATAGTCTAATGTCTAAAGTTAGTATCATTTTTTATTTACCACCCAAAATCCATGTTGCTCACCTTCTTTGGAAAGTACTGTACTTTTCAATAAATATGCTGTATTGATTCAAATATTGAGACACCTTTTTGACCTTCTAAGCTAATTTTGAACTGACTGGCAGCAAGTATATGGATATTATAAAAAAATTCCAAACAAGAAATCACTAAAAGAAATCTGTAATTCCCACTTCACCTTGCTCCGGAGTCACTGAAGAGCTCAGAACACTTAGACCTTTAAGCACATCTGAACCTGCATGCAGACAGCATGTTTTGTCAAGCTTTACTAAAACCTGTGGAGCACGGTGGGATCCAAGCCATACCAGAGGCTCCACAATCCCTTTCCTAATGTCACTTTAGTATACCACCAGGATGCCATATTGTGAACATCAGACCTGTCACAGAAAGCGGTCCCTGCTCCAGCACATGGCCCTGGTCAGTGCACTAACACTCTGCTCAGTTAACACACTAAGTCCTCTATTATCTTGAGCTTCAGCTGCTTTGAATTAGTTCTTCTTAAAGCTATTGCTGATGCCTTGTTAAATAAAACTAACAGGACTTCCCTGGTGGCGCAGTGGTTGGGAGTCCGCCTGCCGATGCAGGGGACACGGCTTGGTGCCCCGGTCCCAGAAGATCCCACATGCCACGGAGCGGCTGGGCCCGTGAGCCATGGCCGCTGGGCCTGCGTGTCCGGAGCCTGTGCTCCGCAGCGGGAGAGGCCGCAACAGTGAGAGGCCCGCGTACCGCAAAAAAAAAAAATAAATAAAATAAATAAAACTAACAACAAAAATGGGGATACTCCTTCTGAATTATAGAAATAAAAGTGTGAATAACTGTGTATTCAATTTTCTATTACTTCCAAAGTCTTGCATCTAAATCTAAATTTATCTCATGGCAGATTCCATTTTAAAAGAAAGGTAGTCCTTTCTTGAAGCTATATACAGAGTTACCTTGAGAAGTTAGGAGACATAAATTCAGACATAAATTCATACATGAATGCTGAATTTCACAATTTACATTGTGAAAGCACCGTTAGATTCCAAGTTAAGATCACAGCATCTGCTCAACATTGGTACTTCATAATTCTTGAACACCTCAACACTATATAACCTTATAACATCTTAACATAAGACAAAGGCATTAAAATTATCCAGTGATCATCTCAGTAATCTACTGCTTCCCTCCTACAGACTCAAGCCATCTCTAAAACAGGGCTTTCTTCAAATCATTGTGGGATCTCATCACTTCTCATATATATTTAGTTACTAGAATCACATCATCTGCACTTTAAATAGTATAATTTCAGCTACTTCTCTTCAGCTCCTGTTCTCGTGGAAATGCGTAAGATTTAATGAGCTGCTGATCTCTACTTTATGTTTAAATTTGATATTAGCCTTTCCTCTGTCTTCTCTTCTATTTTTAAATATTGTAAATGTCCAGATTGAGAGAATGGGCCAGGAGATCTTTTTCATATTTGTCCTTTGCCTTTTACAGCGTGTCCTTGCTGGCTGTCCTCTTTTCAAATTTTGTTTTTCTCTGAATGGGCTACTGCACTGATGCTTTTTGGCAGCTGCCGAGTGTTAAACCTGCATATAAAATCAATCCATGGGTCCAGAGCCACAAAACAGGGCCTACTTGAAATGATATTTTTCCCTCAGCTTTCTGGTTACTGTCATATTAGAGTTTTAGTGCAATGGGCAAGTACAATAATTCATTTTACTTTATGAGAAATCTTTATTTTCAAGGGCCACTGCTTGGTTGAATTCTTTTCAGATCATCTTCTTGAATTTATGCAGCACATATAGTAATTCAAGATGCTCCTTTTACTCTAAATGTTGTGGAGAAATCAAGCCAGAGTTTTTTGCACCATATTTCACATCAGTGTATAAAAAGTTACTAAGATATTATGACACAATCATTATTTTCCCATACTGGGGCAGTACTAGCAAAAGCCATTTCACACTATCTTCCTCTTGTATATTTTTCTACTTTATTTCAAGAATAAAAGCCCTATTTCATTGCAGTTAAGACTTTGGATTTTGTTTGGATTTTGTCAACCCAACCTAGATTCACTTCTCAGTTCTCTCTGAATGGGAAGAATGAGAGTCCTCAGGCTAATTACTTATGTGGTATTTAAACCTCATGGTATTCATGTGTAAAATATAATAATAGTTCCTACCTTGGAGGGATCTAAATTAAATTAATAATTTACATAATGTACCTACATAATACCTGACAAAAAGCAAACTCTCAAAATATATCATTACATTTATTATGAATTATAATAACTGTCACCTTTGTTGTCTACTAATATGAGGAAGTTTTGCTGAGCAAGTCAAACCACTGCAATCACCTACTCCTCTTAACAACAGAAATTTTAAAATGTGTGGCATATCCAAAAGTGGTAAAGCAGCTTAAACAGTGTTTGAGAACACAATGAGAATAGACAACTTTTAAAAAATACAATTCCTCAGAAAGCCTTTTGTTACCTTTATCTTTACTGTTTAACAAGTCACCCCAAATTTAATGGCATAAAACAATAGCCATCTAATTAACCTTACAAAATCAGTAGGTTAGAAATCTGGAAAAGTACAAGAGAATGAACTCTTATTGCTTTACAACCTCTGGGGACTCAGCTGGAAAGAGTCAAAAGATGGGAGGCTGTGACAGCTGTCTGGAGGTACAACTTCCAAGATGTCTCCTTCATCCATAAGTATGCCTCAGTTGGGACTGTTGACTCGAGCACTGAAACATGGCCTCTCCATGTGGTTTGGACTCTTGACAGCATGAGAGCTGAGTTTTGACAGTTTCCTGAAACAGAACCTCTGTAGAGCTAGTGTTTCAAGAGAACCAGGTAGAAGTTGTAAAAACTTTTCTGACCCAGCCTCAGAAGTCACATAATGGTTGCTTTAGCTATACTTTCTTGGGTCAAAGTAGTCACAGACCTATCCAGGTTCAAGGGGAGGAGACACAGACTCCATCTTTCTTTGCAAGAAGAGTTAAAGAATTTTGAGGCTCTGTTTTCAAATGCCATATCTTTTCTCCAAAAACTATCTTCATTTTTATTATTGTTTCTTTCTATGCTTCCTTCTCCCTTAATTATTCAGTATTACTTAATACTCATTGTACATGGCTTTGCGGTTATTCCTGAGTCAATTAAACTTTATAAGAGTTATCAAGAATATTGTAAACTCAAGAGTACAGGAATCATTCCTTGCCTCATTTGTGTCTTCAAATAATTTCCAGCATGGGATCCTTCTTGCACTTTGATGATTCATTCGATTAGCTTTAATATGTAGCAGTATCTTAGAACAAAAGTGAATATACATTGGCAGCAATGGTTAACAACTTTAGAAATGAGTACCAGTTTCAGAGATTAGGAAGTGCATGATAGATACCAGTGCAGATTTCAAAGTAGCCTGACTAAACCAAGACTTCCCCTAAAAAGATTAAAAATGGTGAAAGAATTATCTTTTTAATTTAACAGACCAGGAATCCTAAAGAATTAAAGCAGTTAATTCTTTGATTCTTTCGTTCAGAAATTATCTCTTGAACAACTATTTCCTGTAATCCCGGATGCTGTGAATACAGAGATATAAAGAACACAATTCTTGTCCACACAAAGATTACCTTCTAGTTGCAAAGATGAATAAGTAAGCCTGTAATAAATATTGAATGTGATAAGTGTGCTGAGAAAAGAATATTCAGAATTCTGTTGGGGCAAACCTTAGACATTAAGAGATAAACGAGTCAATTGTAGTAAATTCTGTGATGTGCCGTCCAGGTTTCCCACCCGGACTGGAGGAATTATTCCTTCAGCTACGGGGAGTACTGTTCAGACAGCACTCAGTTGTCAAGCTTTTTCAGGAATTACCTACACTGCCCAGTCACCTTGCCTGAGGCCATGGCCCCTTACCAGGGCAGCCCATATTCTATGCCTGGCCAAATTGTAAAGAGCCATGACAGCTTTAGAGCTCCCCTTGGTGTTCTGAGAAACTTCTCTCTTTATTCAACTGTACTCCCGTCCCTTTCCTTCCACAGGTGTTGATCCCAAGAGCACTCCCTAATAAACCTCTCTGTGCTTTCCAGGAGACCCAACATGCAACAACCATTAAATAGAAAAGAGGATCATGTTAATCTAATAAGAGCTATTACAACAGTCACTTTCAAACCATCCTACACATCACTACCATATTAATCTTCATGTGCCACAGAGCTGATCTTCTCAAAAAAGAAAATTTGTTTCCCTTACTTAATGAATAAATTTTGAATTACTCAATGTAGCATTTAAAATTATTCATTATCTAATTCTGACTTACATCCTCATATCCCATTCTTCCCATTTATTTAATATTCAGCTAAACATACTGAATTACTGCAACTACTGAATCTTTTCCCACCTCTGTGCCTTTGTTCATACAGCTCCTTTGCCTTGACATGACCACATGGCCACATTCTACCCATGCTTTAAGACTCAACTCAGAGAACCTCTATCCATCAAATTTTACTGATCTTTCCTTTCCCCATTACCAAGCTAAAGGGAATTGCTCTCTTCTCTGAACATATTGCATTCTATGTGCTTTCCTTTTGTGACTCTCTATTTTCCAGTTCATATTGTAATTATTTAAAAACATGGCATTTCCTTTTCTCGATCCTAAATGATGCACAGTGGATATCACAAAGATATAAAGAAGAAAAGAAAGGTCTAAGGGAGAGAAACTGGAGTGGGGAAGGGTGAAGAGACTGGAGGGAGAAGGGGGAGAGAGAAAAAGGACCAGAGAATGAACAGCAGAAAAGAAGGGGAGCACTTTGTCTTTCAAAGGAGTGGATTGAAAAAAACTGCAGGATAATCTACTTCTTTTCTTAACAAGAACATCAGAAACACTTTATGGCAGCTCCGTTGGAGTTAAATAATAAAGACCCTCATCACTTTGTACTTTGGCCAAGGCAGTAATGAAATGGCAAGCTTTGGAAGTGAACTTTGAAATACGTTCCTATTAATTAATATACTTTTGAAGTCCTTGAAGTTGAGGTTGTACTCCTATAAACCATTTTACTTCCTCCGGAGCTATTTCAAGCACTATTACCGAGTTCTGTGTTGCTCATTAAAGAATTTAGAAAGAGGAGCAAAGGACTTAAAGAAAGATTACTTTATGGATGCTCTAGAGAATTAGAACCATAGCCAGCTGAGGATGTCCAGGAGACCCAGACAAAATGCATCCTCCCTGTGAATGCTCCATAACCTGGTCACCCAGAACTTCAATCTTTGTCATGTTTGAAATTTTCCAGGAGTAGCACTCAGAAAGGCAAAGGAGAATTTAATTTCAAATATTGTCATATTTTTAATTTAGAGAGATTAGGAACCAGTACAATGTCAGCTTGGGTGCCAATGGACCTTTGAATTCTCTAGTCCTATCTCAAGGCAAAGGAGAACTCCAGTAGTCCCACACAAGTAAAGAATCCCTGGCCTGAGGCTGCCCTCACTGTGCCTCCATCAGGTTTTTCAAACCCAGAGTCAGAAACCATCCATGCCAGTGATTTTGAACTCTGCTCATCAATAACTCTGTTGTTTAAGCACCTCAGGCAGAGCCACTGACAATTAGGCAACACTGCTCACAAAGTTAAAGAAAAATAATAATACATTCAGCAAGCAGTCACCAAGATCATGATAGCACCATGGACTGATCTTTTCATCTGAACTGTTGTTTTGTCTGCTCTTATTTTCATTTGGTTTCAGCCTCACTTCTCCCAGAGTTGAAGTCTGATTATCCCCAATAATTGATGATGCTGAAAGAAGTCATCTCATCAAAATCCTGAGCAGCTGTGATTTTTACATTTGCTGACTCTCGTGCCTCCCATTATCCAGGCTACTGGTCAAACATTCCAAAATGGCTAGGCTATTTCCATCAAGTAGCCTCAGCAAATTTCTATTTGGAGGCAGCCTGCTTAGCCATTATCCCTTCACCTTTCCTACCTTCCCCGAGGGAAGTGGAAAAATTGATGCACGGCCCACACTTGTGGAGCAGTTGATGCTTCTTACTCCAACTCTGCACTCCAGATTACCCAAGGTCTCACCTTTATGATGTCCAGTGAGGCTCATGTCATGTTTGCTTGTCTAGAGACTGGAGTGGAGTGGACATAATATGGGATTGGTAGCCCGAAAATCTGCATTTGAGACTTAGCTCTATCGTTAGTTCACCATATCACCTTTTAAAAAGCTGCAACATTTCTGCCTCTATTTCCTAATCTATAAAACGGGAGGACAGAATGTTAAAGTCATTATTCTTCATCTCTGTTGGGAAAATTAAGTAAGATTATAGACATAAAATGGCTTTTCAAATAATTTTTAAAAACCTGTGCAAACATTTGCACGAATAATTAAATTAGCACTGTGAATTTACCAGCTGTGCTTCTGAACCAGAAACCTAACCTCAGTAAATTACCAGGGTCAATTATGAAGGAAAAAGTTATACTCTCTTTTGTATTTCAGGATATCATTAGTTTTTTGTTTGTTTGTTTGTTTTCCTCTTTTTCCTGTGGGAGACTTGCCAAGCCCAAACAGATGGTGTTTGTTAAAAAAGAAAAGGTAATTTAATAAAACCAACCCCATTTTGTTTATAACCCATTTTCAAAGCACAAAGCATAACCGTTTTACTCTCAGCCAGTGGCATCAGATCACTGCTTCACCAAAAAGGTCAACTCAGAAGGACTTGTAGTTTCACAGCCTCTTCTCAAAAACAGTCTCTGACTCTAGTCAATAAGGCTCTTTTTAATACAGAAAATGTTAAACAATGGAAGATTTCCAATTGTATTCTAATGCTTAAAATGGAGTGGTTGACTTGACATCAAGGATTAAATATATTTCATATAGAAAGCCAAAACTTTAAAGAAATTCTGTTACAAAACTTCCCAAACCTCATGTCCTCTCAATACTTTCTAATCAAGCAACAGTGTTCCTTTCACTTCTCTTCAGTATATTCTGCACCATCAAATGGGAACAGGGGCACTCTTTTCTTGTTGAATGTCTGGGGTCCTCAGTCAGTGGTTGCATTGCCCCTCAGCCTAATATTTTGTTCCCAATAGAAATGATGACTTCCAGAATCTAACTAGGAAAACAATGCCCCAAAGTAGCAGCGAGTGCCGGACAAGCTGTGTCGATGAGCATGTAAGGAGGAAATCACTGAAGCCAGGTGATTTAACAGGCACCATGCTGTCTGCAAACAAGCCTTCTAACTTTTCTTCCTCAAAGCAGTGTAACAAACTGCAAGATGTCCTGGATAGAGTCGACCACAATAGAGTAAAACACTTAGGATACAGCATTTTTGTTGTTGTTATTGTTGCTTTTAATATAGGGGCTATTTCTTCAGATCTTTTTAAAAACAGTACATTTTAGAGATGATCTGACTGATTACAACATGTGGAAATTGTAATTGTTACCTTTCCTAAGACTCGTTTCTCAAGAAAAAAGTGACTAAAATAGATTTGTGCAAAGACATTTGACTTATGGCAGGCATGAGATTAGGTTCTGAAATCTTGCATGCCTGTGTATGTACGTGCTTGTTTATGTGTGTGTGTGTGTGTGTGTGTGTGTGTGTCAATCTCTGTGTATATTTATGCATACACATATCACATGTATATGAATTATATGTTTAATTCACACATATTACATGTGTGTATATTAGTATTAAGTATACATATTAATATATGTAATTTTAATCACAGAAAGTCTTTCTTAAAACAGTAGTGTTTCACCATTACAGACTCAGTGTTGTCAATGCATAAGTAGGATATATAATAGTCACAGCCAGTGTTCCCATGAACAGAGATAGATTTAAGGTAGCGGAGAAAAATAAAAGAAAAGCTATACCCTAAAATATATATTAATCCCAGAACCTCACTTAATGATTTGTAATTTGTATGCTCCTTTGATGTCCTAGGGCCTCAATCTTTGAAGAAGAAAAAAAAAAGTAAATTTGAATAAACCTTTTATAATTTGTTAAAGTGCAGGATGAGTAATGTTAGCATGACTTGAGGAAAACAAAACACTAGAAAGATATGTGGAGCTGTCAATAATTCATCAGGGCCAGCCTATTTTAGCACCTAATAATTTTTTTCTGTGCTCCTTCTTTAGAAGAGAACAAATCAGAACACCAATGCAGTAAATTCTCACAGGGGAAACCATAATTCTATTGATGTGCTTCAAGATGGCTTTTTGTTTTCAATTCTGCAAAAGCAGATCGATAAAACTAATGCAGGTTCTCTCCTAAGATTTTCCTTCTACATTCATAGTTAGGAGACTTGCTAACACTAGTTTAACTGATTCAGCACTGGCAGGCATAATGGAGCAGGCTTTTGCAGACCAGTGGAATATAAGAGGTAAAAAAAAAAAAAAAGGAAAACAAAATACAATGCTAGCATGGGGCAGTTTCATTTATCTGTTAAGTACGTGAATTACTGAGTTAAGCTACCTATAGGTTTGGATCCTAGTTTTACTTACTGGCTGTGTGACTTCAGCAAGAGAATAGACCATTCTGTACCTTATTTACTTCAAATAGTAAATGAAGGATAATGAAAGGTAAGAGAATTAAATACAATTATTCATGTAAAAACCTCAGAAGTTCTGGTAAATTCAAAAAATGTTAACTTATTCTACTAAGGTGTGACTCTAATACTCTTATTCTTTGAGCATGGATGCGCTTCCTAGATCATTCAAAAAAGGTCAGAAGAAATGATGTCATCTCAGAAACAAGCATCAGTGCATTTGAATGTAGATCTGAACAGAGTTCAGGACAGAGGTAAAGAAGGAATCTATGAGGGAAGAGAAGGAGTTTAGAAAGGCTTTTAAGAAATCCTATCTCTCTTTTCATTTGCTACACTCCTAAGAGCTGAAGAAGAAAGAAGAAAATATAACACACATGCTAACCAGGCTGAAGAGGCCTAAGGGGAATGTTGAAGGGGTCAGGGCTTTCAGATGCTAACACTGTCTTCTAATGCTCGTGTAAGTTAGACTTGCTTCCTTCAAAACAATTCGTATCTCTACTCTTAAACAGGAGCTGTCAGTCCTTTGCATCTACTTTATTGAAACTGTAAGCTCATTCCTATAAGTTCTTCCCATGCACTCTGGGTGAATGGCTCATCCCTCCACTGAAAACACAGCAGTTAGGTGTTCCAGGGTACCAGCTCTGGGGTCTTCACTTACTAACTATAGGGTCTTGAGCAAATAATCTCTTGTCTGTGCCTGAAACTTCACATCTTGCCTATGTCCTCACCTGCAGAACAAGGTGACTATTACCTGCTTCATACTATTGGGGGACAATTCAGAAAGATAATGCATGTGAAGTGTTTAGTTGAAACGCTGGAAAGCGAACAATGAATGGTAACTACTAACTACTACTTTAATACTACTATTTTGTTTTTAACTTTATTTTGCATCATTATTGTTCACATGTCAGGATCTTGCTAGACAGCTGCTTTTTCTATGAAGTCTATACTGAAAAAGCTTAAGCTTCAACAAATAGTCATTATTCTAAATTCCTAAAAACCTCATGCTCTATACACTTTCAAGCTTTTGAAAATTTTCAAGATAGTAAATTGTCATTTCATAGATATATTTGTGTATATTGCATTTGTTAGCTGGGTGTTTTCATTCTCATGTATTCTTATAAATATAAAATCTGCTTATATTGAAATAATCTCTTTATAACATATAAAGCAGTTTCATACTAATGTATGAAATTTCTAATTAGGTGTAGAGGGAATTAGGCTTATTTGTAGACTCAAGATTATAATTAGATGGAAGTACAAATGGTTTCATCAACATGGTTACACATAAAAATACCAATAGTGCATACTGTATGATTTCTAGGTATATAGCAAAATCTCTTCACCTTCACATAAGATAGGCATGATTCAAAAGCCAGTATGCTAAAAAAACTACATTTACATTGTAATGTTTTTCCCTGAAATTGATAATTTTGAGAGATGTGTAAAAGGGAGAAATAAAATTCCTTTAACTTTTGTTAATTAAAAAATATTTCTTCATAACTTAGAATATTATTTGCAGCATTCATATCCTAAGGTTATATTTAATACATCCAGCCAAAGCTTCCACTTAAGACTTGATAATAGCTCTCAGATGAGTGGTTCAGTGTTCAACTGTGAATTCAATGATACTTGAAGAGGAAATTGATAGTGGGAAAAATTATTAATAATAAACATCACTTTTTTAAAGTTAATAGACTGTTTTTTAGAGAAACTTTAGGGTTATAGAAAAATTGGACAGTTCAGGGTTCCCCAATACCCCCTGCCCTTACACACATACAGTTTCAGTTTCCCCTCTTACTGACACTTTGCATTAGAGTGATATATTTGTTACATTTGATGAGATAATATTGATACATTATTATTAAATAAAGTCCATAGTTTACATTGGGACTAACTATGTATAATCTATGGGTTTTGACTTATATATAATGACATGTATCCACCATTATAGTATCATACAGGGTAATTGCACTGCTTTAAAAATCCCCTGTGCTTTTCATTTCTCCCTCCCTCTCCATAAACTCCTGGCAACCGCTGATCTTTTTACCATCTCCATAGCTTTGCTTTTTCCAGAATACTAGAATACTATGTAGAATACTACATAGTTAGAATCATACAGTATGTAGTATTTAAAAAAAAACAACTCACTTAGCAGTATGCATTTAAGGTCCCTGCATATCTTTCTGTGGCTTAATAGCTCATTTTTTTTATTGCTGAAGAATATTTCACTCTATGAAGGTGTCACAGTTTGTCCATTCACCTATTGAATGTTTCCAAATGTTGGCAATTATGAATAAAGCTGCTATAAACATCTGTCTGCAGATTTTTGTGTAGACCTAAGTTGTCAACTCCTTCGGGTAAATACCAAGAAGCTGTACTATCTTAAATCCCACTAGTAAAAAATAAGTGTCTGTTGTTCTGCATCTTGTCAGCATTTGTATTGTCAGTGTTTGGGATTTTAGTCATTTTAATAAGTGTGTAGTGGCATCTCATTGTTGTTTTACTTTTCAATCCCCTGATGTGAAATTATGATGAGCATCTTTTCATATTCTTATTTGTCACCTGTGTATCTTCTTTGATGAGATGTCTATTCAGATCTTTTGCTATTAAAAATACATTTTATCATCACTTTTTTTTTTTTTTTTTTTTTGCGGTACGCGGGCCTCTCACTGCTGCGGCCGCTCCCGTTGCGGAGCACAGGCTCCGGATGCGTAGGCTCAGCGGCCATGGCTCACGGGCCCAGCCGCTCCGCGGCATGTCGGATCTTCCCAGACTGGGACACGAACCCGTGTCCCCTGCATCGGCAGGCGGACTCTCAACCACTGCGCCACCAGGGAAGCCCTATCATCATTTTTATGGTAGCCTTTATTTTATAGAAAAGTTTTAGATTCACAAAAGAATTGAAAAGACAGTACAGAGAGTTCCTATATTCCCTAAACACAGTTTTTTTTTTTCTATTTTTAACATCTTGCATCAGTAACAAACATAACTTTTAATAATTAATCATCAGAAAATATGAGTTGAGGGGCTTTCCTGGTGGCGCAGTGGTTGAGTCCGCCTGCCTCTGCAGGGGACACGGGTTCGTGCCCCGGTCTGGGAAGATCCAACATGCCACAGAGCGGCTGGGCCCGTGAGCCATGGCCGCTGAGCCTGCGCGTCCGGAGCCTGTGCTCCACAACAGGAGAGGCCACAACAGTGAGAGGCCCGTGTACCGCAAAAAAAAAAAAAAGAGTTGAAACAAGATCCAAACACTATGTTTCCTGAGGACAATAAGGAACCCAAGCATCTGCCATCTAGTGATCCTAAACGCTGTTGTTTAAAGACACTCACATTTTGCATTCATTGCCCACCTAACATCAATAGCAATAATCACATCTTAGTTTTAGCTCTTAGCAGTTTTCAGATGCCTTTATATGTTTCTACGAAGGAATTTATGACTGGGTAAGAGAGTCAACAAAAGAAGCAGATCAAGCCCTGTCAATTCTTTTCTGCCTTTCTTTTCAGCCTCGTGTTTTAGATAGGACAATCTTATGATGTGTTACCTTTATTTATCAAATGAACAAAGAAAGGTCCCAGGAGCTATAATCAAGTCTTCACAGTTCCTTGCCAACACTCTTCATCTACACAGTTCACAAAAAGATTCACTTTCCATAATCTGATCAAGAAGATTGAATAAAAACATAAGGTCTATCTCTCCATATTGTTTATAATCTTTCTTTGTTCATTGCTTGTTTTTAGTCCACAGATTCTTCTCTGATAGTCCTAAACAAGGTCAAAATTACCCACAGGACCATCACCCTTTTTTGTAAATTTACAAGATTTTGCTTTATGTTTACAATTGCTTCTTATATAAAATAAAAAACTATGTTTCATCATGTTAAACTTTCAACCTGAGTAACATATCTATGTCAAAACCAATATACAAGAAAGGTAATTTTTGTTGTCAATAATATTAAAATTATAATGTCTACTCTCAGCTCAGTACTACAATTAACAAAAGTTTTGCCCAACTTACATACTTTTTTCTGAATAACATCAGATTTCAAACCCTAAGGCAGTTTCTTTTCCTATCTTTTTATTTCAATAGTTGGTATCAAACTATCTCATTACTGAGCAAAATCTTCCTGACACCTTGAATTTTCACATCGGTTTCACATTTGTCATAAAAGATGTTTTTTGGTAAGTAAGGTATTTTGGCTTAAATTTCTTATGTATGATAGATAATATCTCAGCAAGATGTGAACGCATTTTAAATCATCCCTGGAGGTGTAGAACCACTGTGTCCATTAAAACATTCAAGGCATTTATTTGGAAAGTTTTATCTTATGTCTCAGGTTAGGAATTTAAAATTGTCCCCTGAATTTGTATTTGTAGCTCAACTTAGGAATTTTCTATCTAACATTAATTTCTTTGGCATTTAGTTGTTGATTGTCCATGATGTATAGGTATGTGGTCTCCCAAGAACAATTCTAAATATTTTTTTATATTGTGTATAATTATTATTTTTATATCTGAGGGTGACTTGTAAATGATGTAGGCATTTTCAATATGTTCAAGTATTAAACAACCAAACAACCAAGTTCTGCTGCTTTACAAAATCACTTATTTTCTACATAAGATGTGTTTTCAGTAATAAGTCACACATTTTTCAAAATAAATCAGACACTGGGAGATTAAAATATTATTACTTAAATTTGCTGCAGAGTCATTGTCTGCTCACTACCTGAAGATTTCTTTCTTAATGAATTTAAATGGGACACATCTATTGCAGAAGCTCTTATTATAGACTTATTTTAGCATCAGTGTTCCTTGCATGTAAAATAAATAAATTCACTTCATTGCCTATAGGATTTTATTCTATTACATTCAGTACATAGCCTTTCATGGATAAAAAAATGTGCTGAAATTATTATCCATATTATTTGCTAAAGAGAGAGAATGAAAAAAAAATGTGCTTTTTGGGAGAATAAATAAAATAATTATGCTATTTTCTATGTTTAAGATGAAAATACAAATATCCTATTAAAAGATAAACATAACAGAAATGCTAAAAATTAAAAATAATATTGGCTGGTTTAATTTAAGCTTCTAAAAATGCAAACACATATCATCAATCATCAAGAGCTTACTAATGCTCAGAGAAGCTCTGATTATTATGCAGGATCTATATAAAGAAGATACTGTTCCTGGTGATTTAAATTAGTTATTCCACTATAAACTCAGCCTTGAAGGTCCTGGGTCTGAGTCCTGG